TAAGAACGAACTGATCGGGAATCCATTGCTCACCAAATATGTAGAAGAAAATGGAGGTGGGTCGGACACACATACACACTGAGGAGACCATCGAATGATACAACTCACCACCACGCGATCACTCCAGTGGAACCCAAATAGGAAATACAAGTTTAGCGTTGGTCTGAGCGTGACATGGATATGATCATGTGAGTTAGAGGCCTTAAGGAACTGCTGCAAATTGTGGGGCCATCTGAAGACGATCACAGACAATAGGAAAAAGTGAATGAGTCCTTTTGAAGGCCTAATTTTCCCTAGGAACTCAAGAGAACAGTAAATGAAAAACACCCATTCTAGTGAAGCGAGGCATCATTTCCAGTTTGCCATATATAACCACTAATTATCACCCTTGGCGAAGTACATAGAATCAGCTCATGTCACATACATGCATACCCACGCATTTATCAGCCTACATCATCTTTGACGAAGACATGATGTCGGGCTATCGATCAGAAGAGCATAGTTGTGACACATGACGTTAGAAATTGGAATCAATATATAATATGGTGAGTAGTACTAAGATTGAGCGTACAGTTTTAGTAAAGGATGTAAGATCAATCAATGAGGTTATGAAACTGAAAAGTGTTAATTGATATACGATCTGGCTGAATCGACGTAGGGAGAAGTAGATCACCTGGTTGGTTTCTCCTAGACTCGAGTTGCTATAACGACTTTCTTAGTTCTCTCTAAGTAGCATAAATTTACCATTAAAATCTCATCTTTATCAGCAGTACAGATAAAAGCGAAAAGCAAAAATAAAAATAAGTAAAAAAGCAGCAGAGAAAACCAAATACCTCATAAAAGTAAAAGTAAAAATCACATGAGGCGGTTTCTGATCACAATAAGAAAAGCAAAAGAAAACTGCTTGCAAAGCAAAATGCTTCTGTGTGATTTACGTAAACCAAAAAAAAAATTAAAAACAAACAGTTATAGAGTTGATAAAGGATTGATATCAGTTAGAGAACTGTTAAGAAACAATGGAGTACAGCCAGATAGCTATTTCGTCCTAGCTGCATACTTTTCATCAGTACAGACCAAATGCCAGGGTTCGAACCCAGGGATTTCCAGCCACCAGGACACGACTCAATGACCAGCTCATAAATTCTAAATCCTAGTAATTCGTGATTTTAGCACGACTAACACCAGTCAATGTCATTGGAGGTGAGTGTTTGTCCTCACACACGACCTGTTGGTGTACCCCAGTGGTCACGACGTCTCACTAGAAATCCAGTCAACTTCGGCCTCTAGGCAGTCGGTCACTAGCGACCACCTATGTGTAATTACAATTTCAGTCAGGAAGATAATTCGATCTCATGGTTGCATCATCCAAAGACTGCTGGGTCAAGTGTCAATTGTCAGGTCAGTCGGTCGGTGACCAGTAACATACACACCCTGGTAAATCCTTCATAGATGAACCATTCAAAAGTGTTTTAGAAATCACGAAATGAAACTCTAACTGAAATGACATTGTAGAACATTTTTGTGTAAACAAGCCTGGAGTGTTTGTCGATCAACTGGTTTTTCAAAGCACACATATACACACACACAAGCACATAGACATTATTGTTCATTTTACTTTTGAAATCATTTACAAACATATTTACACCTCTAGACAAGTGAATATAGGTCATTCATGTAAGCAACACCCTCCAGTGTGAATCAATCACACTAATGACTCATAGTGTAGGCCACCTGTACAAAAAAGTTAATAGTAGTAATAATAACAACAATGTTCTGATGATAGAGTGACTTGTTTAACAGGACGTGATATTTTTGAATGAACAATTTACGTGCATTGTTGTTACATATATGCTTTTATGACCAGTGTTCAACACACACTGTTAATAAAGCTTAGATACCATGCTGACGAAAGTTACAGTACTGATCACTGGCTGACATTATTTAGAGAACCATCGCTAAATCAACAAGGAGTACTGCACAGCTACTTCATCGCAATTTGGGACTCCCCAGAAGTACGCACCCACCACGGGGGTTCCAACCAATTAGGAGTTGAGCTCGTAGATCATTCGGCAACTGGGACTCAATCTAATGGTCCATAGTCACAATAGCCTAATTGCGTTATTGTCTATAGGTAAAACTTGACTTTAGATTTGACTGTTATCAACTGATACATATACATATATCTCACGGGATAGTGGCCATTGGATCGGGAGGCAGTGGCTGAATGGTCTACGAGCCCAACTTGTAACCAGAAAGCCCTTTGTTCAAACCCTGGCGGTGAGTGTACACTATGAAGACTTTACAACTAGTGCGAAACAGCTGGTCGCCTAATACTCCCAGATGGTTTCCCAATGCTTCTCTAACTGATGTCAACTGGTGGTGAAACCAGTAACTAATCAGATTCCCGCAAAATCAACAATTAGTGTTAAAACAGTTGAGAAAGCAAAAGTATTCAGCGAAGAATTATTGACTTTTCAATTAAGTCCTCATATCTCTCTCTTTCTCTGACTCTACTTTAATATATAAATTTATAGCATTTTTAATTCTATACACAACAATGATTTGATGATATTAGATGGTTGGAGGCAGTCGTCACGAGGAAGCCTTGCTTGTCTTAGGTTTCGTGCTAGTTGGCACTCACCAGTCAGGGCAAGGCGTATCTGCAAATATGAAGGAACGCATGTCCCTTCTGACATTTGAACCCGCGTCACTCAGTGAGTGCTGAAGTCAGAGATGTTACCACCGAGCTATTCGGGCTTGCGATTCACCTCCTGTAGGGATGTAGTGGATGCTGACGAGTGCCAAATAGCACGAAACCTAGGTCCAAGGCTTCCTGCCAACTGCCTCCAACCATCTAATATCATCAAATCAATGTGCACCGTGATGGCGAGCTACCTAGAATGCTGAAAAACATTGCAAACCTGACCGATAGAATTCATTCTGCACCAAAGAAACGGCTAGACGCATAACACTAGTTACCAGCGTCCAATCATAGTACTATACACAACAGTTTAGCAATCAAGTGGCGATATTTGTTTGTTAAAAGAACTCTCAATACAGCAGAGGTAAGTTGTCTTGTCACTGTCACCCGTATTTTATTTTCGAGGAATGTAGAACTACAGTTGGGTGTACAATTAGGCAGGTTAAGAAAGGGACAAACAAGATGCATTCCTATCTGCGTTTTAGCACGCCTTGTAGACAGTAGGATTAAAGTTGGTGCTGAATTAACATTTGTAGTGATTTATCACATTCCAACTGATCTTAATTTTGCTTTAAGAGTTCCCCATCTACATACAGAGCTGAATGAAGCCACTGAAATCCATCTGAAGCAGCCAAACCTGTGTGTGTGTTCAGAAGGAATTCGTAAACCCTCTTTCCTTAACTTGGCCTGACCACTTAGCCGTACCCCTAATTATTATAATTATTGTTCCCTTGGGTTCCTAGTGAAACATAGGGCTTCGACTACACGTCTCCACTTGTTTCTGTCTTCTACCGTACTTTTCACTTGCATCCATGTTAATCCATACTGTTTCAATTTCTCTTCACACGATCTCCTCCAAGTCACCTTTACACGTCCCACTCGCCGCTTCCGTTTCGGGTTCCACTCGAGCACTGGCCTGCAGCGCGATGACACTCAGTGGCCTCCTCAGTGAGTGTCCAATCCATAACCACTTTCTCCTGTATATCTGTTGCGCGATTGGTTCTTGTTTTGTTTGTTCCCATAGTTTCTTGTTGGTGACTCTTTTCGGCCATCCGGCCGTTCCCCTAAGCCTTTTAAAAATTATAACTGTCTAAATTATTTCATTTCTCTTCAGTTATCTTGTAACGGCAGAAGACAAGAGTTAGGTAACAGATCTTTTATTGAGAAAATCAACTGATATTTATAGATTTTTATGCAAATAATTATTAGCGTTATTGTTATCAGAGAAAAAACCATCTTCCGATTGGTTGTTTTCCTGCTGAAGGTTATTCTGTCATCTGTTTGTGGCCGTTTCTTTGAAGGCCAGACCATATATATCTGCGAATGGTATCCGCCCACACTAAGTCTGTTGTGATTGGTTGTTGAGCTCCTCAAGGTTATTCTTTATTCTTGTTTTTCTCATGACCAAGATTTGGGATATAAATATTGACGTGAATTGTTGTCTACCAATTTGGGCTAGCAGACATTTCTCATCACAATCTATTACGTAATCAACTTGAACACTAGCTTATTCCTTAATTACTCTGCATTCTTCAAAAATTATGCATTATGCAATCCACTTATTGTAACCATTTCTACCTTTTAATTATCTGTATTAATTTTCTTGGTTAATTATCGGCGCCTGCCCATGACATGTTGATCGTTACTAATTATTGTTAACAAAACATATCGCCATCTGATTGGCAAAATGTTGCGTTCAAATTTCGGTTTACAGGGATTTAGCTGGTTTCAGGATTTCATCATAAACTTACATTGGTTAAAGGAGTATTGGGTCGAGGTCACAGTGGCTCAATGGTCTACGAGCCAACTTGCTGGGCTTGTAACCAGAAGGTTCTGGGTTCAGACGATCATGGTGGGTTTCTACTGCTGAATGGTCCCAAGAGACAAGGACGAAACAGGTGTCCAGTACTCCCAGGCTTTCCAATGACCTAACCGATGTCAGTTCATGATGAAATCATGAAAATGTTGTGTATTGTATTGGAAATGTTGCAAATATATGTTAGAGTAGAGTCAGAGAGATGAGGATCTCATTTAGAAGTAACAACATTTCTTCTCTCAATCCTTTTGCTTTCTAATCGTCCAAATGAGGATTATTTTTCTACATTGAAAAAAACCCAGTTATCTGTTTTGAGGTGTTGAATGTATTAGAATGAATGATTAGAAATCAAATCAAATGAATAATCAAACGAAAACACAATTAGACACGGTTAGAAGATCAAAGCAAAACACAGCAAGTAAGCGTGTGAACGAAACAAAAAACCAACTGAACTCAACTGAACTGTAGCAGTTAACAACTTACTAACACTTGGACGATACTCATAACGACCTGCTTAATAACAGAAATAAAACAAGGGTAGACAGATGATGGTGATGAAAATAAGTTTAGGATAGATAAAGCATCGTGTGTATTTTTTCAACACAGGTGAGAACAGGACAAGTTTAAACAAACAAATTTCAGTTGTCAGTGTAAATGTTGACTTCTATAAAATACAAAATGATTGAGCAAAGAATATTCTTTTCGATAAATTCCTCTTCCAGGCTCTACAATTATATATGCATGTTTATATACACAGAATATTTTAAATTAGTAGTTAATAACAATATTAGCGTTTTTTTTAAATAATATCGATTTGTAAAGTATGATTAATGCTATTACAGTTCATTAAAGATGCTTAAATTATAATAATAATAATAAAGGTATAACAGCGAATAGAATATCAAATAAAATTAGGGAAATTTCACTTCTAAATATTGCTGAGGCCGTGGGGATCCATATTAACAAGCCTAATTTATGCACCCAAAAGAAGTTAGTTCAGTCATTATCATAACCCTGTCCATCCAGGTTTGAATAATCCAGAATTTTTGTGAAATTTCCCTAATTTTATTTGATATTCTATTCGCTGTTATATCTTTATTGTTATTATTATAATTTAAGCATCTTTAATGAACTGTAATAGCATTAATCATACTTTACAAATCGATATTAATTAAAAAACGCTAATATTGTTATTAACTACTAATTTAAAATATTCTGTGTATAAAAACATGCATATATAATTGTAGAGCCTGGAAGAGGAATTTATCGAAAAGAATATTCGTTGCTCGATTATTTTGTGTTTTGTAAATGTTGTCTGTTGAATTGCTTGTCGACAGGTATAGCTAGTTGATTACAAAGCATATGGTGGCATACTTGTGATAGGAATCTTCTTTGAATCTCGCTTTACTCTCTTCTCATGCCCTTTGTGCTACATGGAGGTTGTGTGGCAAAAACAAACTAATATATAGACCAAATTTACCAACTAATAAAAAGTAAATCAAGTCACGAGAAATTTCAAAATCCCAGTTTAATAAAAAATGATCAGTACAGATATAAATCGACTATCAGTCATAACGATAGTTGCCAGGAGACACAATTCTATCATTCATGAAGAGAATTAGATTCAATTCATGTTATGCTAAAAATTGCACTGAAGATGTTGTCCAGAAGGACGATGTAGTTTCCACAGGTTAACCGACCAACTAAAAGAACACAACTAATTGCAAATCATCCACCTGAGCCACAAATATTCTCTGTTATAAAGCAAAAAGAAAAGCAATATGGATGAACAAGGGAATTTTATTGGATATGATAGATCACAAGGAGTGGATGTGTCTGTGCCATCAATGAGAACGATTTTGAGCCATATCAACAATTGTCTCCAGCCGTCATTGGTGTTTACCATCCTGAGGACCCCAACCAGTCAGACAGTTTGCATCTCCCTGCGTTTTCGATTTCATTGACTGATGAGGGCATGTTTTGGTTTGACCATCACCAGCTAGCTATTTTCAAACCTGATCCATCCTATGTCAGCTAATATTGCCCATTATCGAGGAAGGCAGGTGATGGCTTGGTGTGCACGCGTAACACATGTCCTAACCATCTCAGTCAATCGGTGTAACTTCACAACCCCGTCGATTGATTCCTACTCCAATTGTCTAGCACTCAATCGAAGCCTCACCTCAATACTCTTCACCTTATTATACCACTTAACACGAGAGATAGGACGCAGGAGCCTATGATCAAAGACAGGTGGCCAGGCTTTTCATGTCATCCACTTTCAGTCGCCGGGTGTCACTCACAGTCATAAAGGATGACAGAGGAAAATGCTCAGCAGTACACACGCCCTTTGGTCGACAGTTGGATATCACGTCTACTGAGCCAGAGATGGGGTAAGTTGACATATGCCAAACTAGCCTTCTGTATCCGTGCTGAGATTTTGACTATCTACTTATTACACATTCATATAACCATGTCGTGAAACCCTAGGTGGGCTTCACTTGTAATTCGATGATTACAGTTGGATAGGAAGATAGATCTGTCACTAACCTTTGCTACTGTAGCTTTATAATCTAAGTTTAAATATTATATTTAGCATTTTTATTATTAATGAACTGTTATTAGCACAATGCTTAGTTAACACATGTGGAATCAAAAAAACAAAGCATTCGCTCCATGAATACATCAGATCTTAAAGTACATTACCATCTGATCAATAACTGGATTATTATTAAAACGGCATAATCATGATCTTGTATTCATTCAACTCGATAAGTAAATGGGGTTTCATCATGAGCTGACATTGGTTAGAGAACCATCGGAATACCTGCAGAGCGTACTGGACTTCTGTTTCGTCAGCCTAGTTTGGGACTCTTCATCAGTACGCACCCACTGACATGGTTCAAACCCAGGACCTTCTGGTTACAAGGCTGGCGAGCTCGCAGACCATTAAGCCACTGAGAGCCGATCCAATAGAACGAAACAGCTGTCCAGTACTTTCTGCAGGTTTTACAATGGTTCTCTAACCAATGTCAGCTCATGATGAAATCCTGTAACCAATCAAATCCCTACAAAGCAACACATGAATATAAATGGGATTTGTTGTTCATAAAAATCTATTTTTCAAATGAATGAATAATGGGGCTATGGGATTAATGTGCCGAAAACAATGAAATTTCAATGAATAATGCCTAATTTATTGTCAGTACGATACACACTGAATGTTCATTTTTTATTTAGTGATTAAGAAAGATGCAGTAGCAATGAGCACTCCACTTGGTTCAGAGCTCACCATATTTGCATATATATATGTATACAAAGCGAAGCGTTAGAAGTGTATGACAGAGTAAGACAAGCTGGCTGCCTTTTATCACCGAAAATATAATAAATTGTGGACTGGATTATACGAAAGGCTGAAGGAGGTGAGAAGGCAGGAATACGCTGGATCAGCGATAAGAAGACTCTAGAAGATATGGGTTTCGCGTGTGGATGATTTATATCTCGTGTCACGGAAACTCGAAGACTAACAGGTGAAAAACAATGAACTGGCTGGAGAAGCAGGTAGCGAAGACAGGACTCCAAGTAAACATACAGAAAACGGAGGTGATGAAGGTATCCGCATGCCGACAGCAACAACAACAACCAGCATCAGCCACAATAAACGAGATAAATTTGACAGAGGTCGCTTCCTTCATTTATCCAGCCAGGAAACATCGTTTTTGATGTGGTTGTGTTCTCTGAGCTGGATAGTTAATTTGCGAAGCTTTCATCACCCTACTAGGTGACATCTTCAGCGCATACTTCATTTTCATGAAGTGAGCTTTTAGATTTCTCCACGAGTTTATTATTCATCTCTTCCGGTGACCTTGGACGTGATTGGTTGTTTTTGTCTGTTTTCACACCTTCTAGGCTACTTGTATTCGAATTGATTCTTTCTTTGACTTGAACTTTGACCCTTTGATGTGTGAGATTTCTTTCTTATCGGTTGATAAACTTTGTCAATCTTGAAGTGTCTATTGATTGATGATTCACTTGAATGCCAAGCTTCTAAAAATTCTCTCTAATATTTGAACATTGAGCATATTAGACAGAGGAAACAAAAAAAATGCTAGAGAATTTTCAGAAGCCCACCTGGTATTCCAGTGAATCATCAATCAATAGACACATCGAAATAGACAAAATGTGTCAACCGATAAGAAGGAAATCTCACACATCAAAGGGTCAAAGTTCAAGTCAAAGAAAGAATCCGTTCCAATACAAGTAACCTAGAAGGTGTGAAAACACACAAAACAACCAATCACGTCCAAGGTCACCGGAAGAGATGAATAATAAACTCGTGGAGAAATCTAAAAGCTCACTTCATGAAAATGAAGTATGCGCTGAAGATGTCACCTAGTAGGGTGATGAAAGCTTCGCAAATTAACTATCCACCTCAGAGAACACAACCACATCAAAATCATCCACCTGAGCTACAAATCTTCTCCATCATAGGAAACATCGTTTCAATCACAGGCAGCCGTAACGGATGAAGATGTCAAAGCCGTCAAAGGTGAGATATGCCTTCACTAATCTGAAAACAGTTTGGAAATCTTCTGCTGTCTCTCAGCCAGCATAAAGAATAAGATTCGGATTCTGTTCAACACAAATGGTAAATAAGTCAGTTCTTCTGTACGAATCAGAAATTTGGCCAGCATATCCCGAAAAGTATTTTCAACAAGTTACTGCAGAATTCCGGCAACACCTGACAACCACACTGGCTCCATGCTGAAAATCAAATGGCCAGCTGGCCAGACAGAATTAGCAACAAGAAACTCTGGGGATGAACAAACCAACAGGCAAGATCCAATTACTCATCGAATATATAGTAGAAAGTGAAGGTGGATCGGGCATACATTGAGCAGGCCATAGAACGAAATCACACGCAGTGTGGGCCATCACTCGAGTGGAATCTCAATGGGAAACGACGAGTGGATCGTCGGTGAGACGGTGACATTCAGGAGATGAGAGATAATGGGTAATCGTGGAGCAGGCCAACTGAAGAGGAGAGCAGAAAATGGAAAAAAGTTGAGGCCCTATGTTCCACTCGGAAACCAAGGGAGTAATAACAATAATATAAGACATGGGTTTCGCGGGTGATTTACGTCCATTATCGCACTAACTAGGAGACGCATAGGCGAAAACCAACAAATTGGCAGATGAAGCAAACAGAGAAGACGAAGGTAGGGAAGATAACCAGCCGACCAACCAACCAAACAACAACAAAAACAAAACAAGAACTAATCACTATCAACAGGCGAAATTTGAATGACGTCACTTCCCTCACTATTCTAGGCAGCACCTTCTCAGACACAGGCAGTCGGCACGGATGAAAATGTCTAAAAAACCCGAATAGGATCCAAAAGGCAAGACACAGCTTCATCACTCTGAAAACACTTTGGAAATCTTATGCACTCCATCAGAACATAAACAACAAAACTCGGATTATCAAAACTAATGTTAAGTAACTAACTTTCTCTATATGGGCCAGAAATATGGATGGCGCGTCAAGTAAAATATTTCTTCCTTTCTTCACTGGCTCCATACTAAAGATCAGATAGCCAGCCAGAAAGAATTAGCACCAAAAAGCTTTGAAAACGAAGTAATTGAGTACTTATCGCTCAAGGAATAGATCGAAGGAGATGGTTGGAACACACGTTATGAAGACCGCTGGGTGACATCACTTTTCAGACAGGCAGTTGAATGAGGCCCGAGTGGGAAGTAATGACTGTGGTGTAGGGCTTCCAAAGGTGAAACGTGGGAGATCCTGCGAGGAGAAAATGATGGCTTGTGGGCAGCCATAGGGCCAGATGAAGAGGACGGCAGAGAACAGCATGAAATTAGGATGCGCTGTTGACGCTCTATGTTGCGCTTGGAACCCAGAGGAACATTAACACATATACATATATATTAATACGTGGGTGGACTGGACAGCTCTTTCGTCAGCCTAGTTTAGGACTCTTTATCAGTACTCACCCACCGCCAGGGTTCAAACCCAGGACCCTCTGGTTACAAGCCCAGCGAGCTCGTAGACCATCAGGCCACTGGGATCCGACCTAATGGCCAGCCCAGGAATTCCAACTTCTGCCATTTCACAATATAGCGCGACCACCTAGAGAATGTCATCAGTGCTGAGTATTTGTCCTCACACCCGACCTTCTGCATCCTACTGGTCATGACTTCTCACTAGAACCTCAGGTCACTACGTAAATGAATAGGGCAAGTCGCTAGTGAACATTGCTTTGTAGGAATTTGATTGGTTACAGGATTTCATTATGAACTGAAATTGGTTAGAGAAGTGTTGAGATGCCATCAATGCAGTACTGGATAGCTGTTTCGTCCCAGTTTGAGACTCTTCAAAAGTACTCACCCACTGCTATTGTTCGAACCCAGGACCTTCTAGTCATAATGTGAGTTAGCTCGTAGGCCATTTAGCCACTGGGACTCAATCAAATCACCCATGAATTCCAACTTCAGTACTCTCAGGTTTTCCACTGGTTCTCTCTAACCGGTATCAGTTCATGATGAAATCCTGGAACCAGTCAAATCCCTGCAGACCATCACTTGAATATATATCAATACACAAATACAAGGTGAAGAAATTACCAGAACAAAATTCCTCACAAAAAAAAGAGATAACAACTATCTTTCACTGTAATTTACCTTTAATAATAATAAAACGCCAACAAAAAGGATAGATAAAGATGTGGAGATTAACACAGAGATTACATTATCTTTCATGCATAAAACACATTTTTAATGCTTTTTTGTATGTGTATATATATGTTTAATGTTGTCACACCCAAAATACAAACCTTGATTGTTTTGTTTTTCTCAACCCACACACATTAATTTTAGTAGACAAACACAAATTTGGCGCGTCGTATGTATTAGAAGGCGTACATAAGGCGTTGGTGAAGTACTCCCGTTATCACCAATTTTTTCAGAAGTCAATTTACACTGTGAGCTGTTTTCAGAAAATTAGAAGCCCAAATTAGTGCGTTAATCTCTTCAACGGTGTGTTTATTTGTTGAATGTCATTATGAAAGGCTGAATAAAATTTGTAAGCTGCTGACATAACTCAGCGATTCAAGTCTTCGTCTGCAGGGAATTGATTGGTTGTAGGATTTTATCATGAGTTGACATTGGTTAGAGAAATATTGGTCTTGAACAGACAAAGCTCAAGTGTGCAATTGGCGAAACAACAGCCTACTATAGATACGTTGGTGACACATTCATTTTATGCAATGATTTGAGTCACGCTTCGTCTCTATTAGACTCTTTCAACAATGTACACAAAAGCATCACTTTTACGATGGAGCATAAAGATGATGAAAAATTCCATTTTTTTTGGACGTAAAGTTGGAGAGACAATACGACGGGACACTGGAAAGGTCTGTATACCGTAAAGACACATATAGGGGGTCTTTACTTGAATTTCAACAGCTTCTGTCCAGTGAGATACAAACGAACGCTGGTGAAAACGCTTTTCGCTAGAGCGAAGAGAATATGTTCACCAAACAAACTAGACAGTGAACTAATGCTTCTTAAAAAATGCTTGAAAGAAAATGGTTACCCACAAAGTTTCATTAACAAATATGGCAGGAATGAACTCAAGAAGCTTGATACTGCTACAGTTAGTAAGAAGCCTATTTTCATCAAACTCAACTACAAGGGCGACGACATTAAGAGAATGATAATTAAAAGATTAAGTGCAGCCCTGTCTAGGACGTATCCTGCAGCGTTATTAGTCTCTCTATCCCGAACAACCTCTTCACTGGTGCAGTAAAAGATTGACAAGTACCCCTAACATGTTACCTCCAACTGTGTATACCAATTCATATGTATCTGCGAGAGCAGTTACATTGGAAGAACAGAGAGGAGGGCCTACGTCAGATTCTGCGAACATGTATCAAGGAGCCTCCGGTTAAAGGGACCGAATTATTTAAGCTCTTCAATCGCCAAACACCTGATTGACACAGGACACCGAGTAGATGTGCTGGAATCATTCAAAGTAATTTACAGACAAAGTACCTCAAGTCTTCTCAGGTTTTCTGAAGCTATAGCAATAAAACGATTTAAGCCTGACTTATGTGTCCAAAAAGAATCTGTCGTTGGACTTCAATTACCCTGGTAACTGACTTCTTAGTAACTCTTTGTTTTCTAATTTTGTTAATTTTGTTAACTTATCTTTTCACTCCACCCCTCCCCTTTATGTTTCGTTTGACTCTTTTAAGAGATAATCTTCCTTGATCTTCTGAGTTCTGCTCACTGTATTACATCATCAACTTCTCATCTGACCTCATGTGCACTGTAATTTTTAAAATTTTGATCTCCTCTTATCTAATTACGTAACTATTGCTAATTATCTTTTGTCACCACCCTAACAACACAACTGTTAACTAATTTTTTTTCAAGAAACTTCTCTCTACCAAGATATATATATACATGTCGTGACACTTCAGACACCTTGTCAGTCTCAATGCCTTATTTTACTATGACGCTCTGACACTATGCTTGCTAATGGACAAATGTTTTTTAAAAAAAAATTGTACACTATTTATTTTTAATAACAAAAATTCAGGTTGTACGCAGGTGATGAGAACCAACGAAATAAAATGGATACAGATTATTCTGCGCCAATGTTTCTTCTCTCTTTGTTCAAATTTATAAAAGGGGATCATTGTATGAAAAACTATTGGTCAACTAGCAAGTAGGATTCGACAGCCAGTTACTTCGTCCTAATTTTAGAACGATTCAGCAATACGTACCTACCACGAGGGTTCAAACCTAGGCTATGCCATTCACAAGGTGAGCTCGTAGATCATCCAGCCAATGGCCAATAGTTAAGTCAGAGGATAAGTCTACATAAAAAACCAAATGGATCTCACTGCCAAGCCTCTTTGCCTGAATTGATTTGCCTACTCCAAAGAAAATTCCTTTCGTTTACTACTGTTTATTTACTCTTCTCGAACAATGCCAACCTCCGAACTCCATCAGTCATCCGGGAAAGGAGTAAGAGTGCGCTATCGCGAGCCACCCCAGCGACTGAAACAGTCCAAGAGCGAACTCCCTGAGACGGGTCTTCATCAATTTTTATAGTATTTACATCTCAAGACACCCTTGGTGCCACCCCTCCAGCTGGTAGGAACAGGAACATCCTCTCAGGGACTCATGGTACGAGATCCCAACCTCCAAGCCACAGTCCACACCATAAGACACTACTAAAGACTGGCCTCAACTAACAACTACACCAAGCTGAGCCTCGCAGTTTGGGTTACCAGCTCTAAAAGCCACCCACTAGCCAGTTGTTATTGGCTCCGGTCCTCTCATCAAGAATCCTGCAGATCTACCGGCCCCGCCGCTGTCTCGCACACCACCATAAAGGCCAAAGGACGGCACCGCTGCTTCATCAAGACTGAGTAATCAGATGTGAATGTTGTCTCATGCAAGCGACAGGTCTTTGCTGGAGCTCGGTTTGCTCGCCGATAAGCCACACCCAGTGGTCTCCACGCGGAGGCGCCTGCCACATATAACCATAACCCTCGCGCCGCCATTTCCCATGCCCTGATGAGTTTCTTCACGTTGACACTCAGAGCACTGGACGGAACTGCATAACCAAATGTAGACTTAACCAGAGAAGCCAATATTGGAAAGCACACGATGGTTAAAGGATGTCGGCCCTAGCACCGCATGCATGGCCCCCCTGCAAAGCCTCTCATTAGATGACGAGGCATTTAACTACCTTAGGAGAGTCAGAGTATTGGCAAACTAGCAGGGAGGACTGGACAGCTAGTTATTTCGGCCTAGTTTTAGGGCAGTTCATCAATACGTACTCACCACGAGGGTTCGAACCTAGGGTCTGTCGTTTACAAGGTGAGCTTGTAGATCATCCAAGCAATGGCCATATGGATCTCAATGTCAATTCTCTTTGTTTGAATTGATTTACCTATTTCAACGAAACTTATTTTCCTTTACTACTATTACAACTGAAAAAACAGCTCCACTTTCCGCTAGTTATGTTAATGTCTTGAGTGGTCGGAAATAGCTATTTTAGCCTACTTCTGTTTTTCATTAAACTAAGGAAAATAAATTCAATATTTTAATGTAAAACTGATTTCTATTCAAGTCAGCAGTGGATACATTTTCCTTCCCTATCGTGTTAAGTGGTATAATACGGTCAGCAATAGTGAAATTAGATGTACATCATTGGGTAACGGGGGGGGGGGGGGAAAGGAACAATCGATAAGTTATTGAATTGAGAAGACCAGGGTTATGAAGATAACCAGCCAATCCACTTAAAAACAACAAAACTAACCAGTAACATTCATTATCAAGAGAAGAAATTGAAAACAGGTCACTTCCTTCAACTACCGAGGAAGTGCCTACTCAAATATGGGCGGCTCGAATGAGGATATTAAAACTAGAATCGGACTCTGAGAACGAACTGACCAACAACCTACTATTCAACAAATATTTTCGTAGAAAATGGAAATGGGTTGGACATAAGATCAGGAGAATGTTCAGTGAAATCGCGCCGCATTCGATCGCTCGAGTGGAACTTGAGAGGGAAACGAGTCGGGAGTGTGTACAGGGTGAAATACAGGAGATCATGTGAGTTGGAGGAAATGAAAGCCTATGGGTGATCGTGAAACCAGCTGGAGATGGCCGCAAAGAATAGGAGAAAGTTGAGATGCGCTTCTGAATGCCTGTTTTCCACTCGGAACCCAAGGGAATATGATAAATCGACTGAGATATCTAAGATATATACCACACAGGCCAGACCATCGCTTTGCTCGATGACCGACGCTGGATAAAATAGGACCAGACTAGAAAACGTTTAAAGATATTCAGACCTAAACAAGCTGCCAATCCATCAAGTCTGTAAGTGACGTTCTGAGCTCGATTTGGAGGTATAGACTTCCTGGTTTGGATCACAGTGACGCTGATATTGTTGGTAACACGATTCAAAGTCTTACTCAATGACACAGATGGAATCACTCTCTTTGTGATATCTGAGATGAGCCAAGTTCTCATTTTGGTTTATCACAGTTTCTTAGCCATATCACCAATTGTCTCTCAACTTCACTGGATTTTACCGTCCCGAGGACC